CAGCACATTACATCATTGTTCTGTTCACCAGAGGAGATGATCTGAACAATCAGTCAATGGAAAGCTACATTGAAGAAGACTGTGATGACTTTGTCAAAAACCTAATTAAAGAGTGTGGAGGGAGATACCATGTCTTTAACAATAAAGATCAGACAAACCGTGGACAAGTCAGAGAGCTGCTGACCAAGATTGACACAATGGTGAGAAATAATGGTGGTGGCTGCTACAACACGGTAAAATATATTCAGAAGAAAATAGAAGAGATAGAAAAAGAGGGGGAGGAATCTAAAAGAAAATATGAGGAAAAAATCAAAGCACTGGAAAGAAAAATAGAAGAGGAATCTAAAAGAAAACAGGAAGAAATGGAAGCACTGAAAATAAAAATAGAAGAGGAATCTAAAAGAAAACATGAGGAAGAAATGGAAGAACTGAAAAGAAAAATAGAAGAGGAATCTAAAATAAAACAGGAAGAAGAAATCAAAGCACTGAAAGTAGCAGACTCTAACAACAAACAAACAATGGAAGATGGAAAGAAGGAAAAACACAAAAAAGAAAAAAATGAGAAACATAAAAAGAAATGTACCATCCTATGAAAATGCTGCCCAATGCCTGTATTTGTCTGTATTCATATGATTCATTAAAAACTGATTTATTGGTCATGTATACATGTAATCAGGTTTCTTATTGGCTTTTTACATTTATCTGTAGTAACAGTAAATACTTCAGACAGGAATGTCTATCTACAAGTATCACTCATTGAGATACATCCTCATAATGAAATTATTAGTAAGTACTACAAGTCAAAATTAGTCAGTTAACAGATTAACAGTTAGATTCAGAAACATTGTAAGGAGAAAGTGCACACACACTCTCACACAAAAAATATACTGTTTGTAAAGCATGGCTCTAAAGTTAGTTAGGGGAGAATCTTCATTATTGACATGCTGTATGTAAATGAGATGGTTTCATATGTATGTATATGTATATGTATTGAAACAGACTTTTAATAAAGACAAAAAATGTGACCTTTGTGTTGTCAGTGCTCTGTTCACAGGCCTCTGTCTGCTTGCAAACGTGTCTTTACTGTAAGTATTTAACCAAGAGCTCCTGTTCCTTCTCTGTGACTGAGACACACTGAAAAGGAAAGCAGAACTTGTGTTATATTATCATAAAATACATGCTACACAGTTTAACTATTAATGCATATTTATTTTTATTCAATATATTTTATTACAGCTTCTTCTTTACCATTCAGGCCTGTCAGTTATCTTCAGCAGCACACACTGCTAACAAACAAACCACAGCCACCTGAGACAAGTTTCCTTAGGAAATATGTTTGTAGTTTCCACGGCAACCTTCAAATATTACACTTGATGTGAGAGTTTTGTCTGTTGTTGTGGTCACATTAGCTGTCATCTAGTTTCATTTCTTTGACATTAACAAATGTTTTTTCCCAGGCCAGTGACGTGACTATATATATATATATATGCGTGTCCCCCTTTAAGGCGGTTTGACATTGACACATCTGCACATATTCTCACAGACACTAAAACAGGAAGGACAGTAAGCAGAAACACTGAGGTCAGAAGTTCAGATACAGAGGACATGATCTTTGTGTTGTCAACATGTGGTTGAAAACGTGTCTCTGCAGCATGTAGCTAACCAAGAGTTATTTTGTGGTCATATAAAGGCTGGAAACTGACTGCATTCTGCCCATTTTACCAGGTTAAGTTCATGAAGGCAGACAAGGTATTACAAACAGACATGTTTCTGGATCCTGGCAGTTCAACAACTTTCTATTCAGATCACCTAAAGTTATTAACATTATTTCAATGTGAGAGAGCCATGTTTCACAATCTGCCTCATGACTGAGTTTAGGACATTTCCCAGAGAAGAGAGGAAACAGTGAGTGAGAACTTGTGTCTTCCTTTTTCACAATGTGTTCAATGACAACTGTTTGTATTTCAGGCGGGTTCCAGTCATTTCCTGAGAGAGAAACAGTTCTTCTGGTATTTGAAGTTGTCTGTGTAGGATTTGTAGGAGGCAGCGTCTCCTGCTGGTCCGACTCAGAAACCTCAGGTTGTGTTGGTTCCATTATTTGAACTGATGGCTCCTTTTCTTTTCTAGGTCTTTGGTTCATCGTTCGTCTTTTAACACCTTTTCAAAAAGTGTTCCACTCCTTTGTAGCAGTGTATTTATTTGCAAGTGCTTTCCGAATTACTTATTGCCAGATAGGTTTTCAGATTCAAGGAATTTGCCCTGGGAAATTGGTGCATTACCATGAACAAAGACAAACATAAATAAAAATAGAGACAAAGTCAAAAGAGTCACTATATACAAATATTTAAAGAAAAACTATATATACAATGCAACCATTATTTAAATAAATGAATGAAAAGCTGTACAGTTTACAGGAATGTGCAAAATATTGACATATAATGATAACCAAGGTTTAAGTGCATTAATCACATAGTAAGTAACCTTTGACACATCTTGTGACGGGTGTATATAAGCCAACAGTTCACTAAAGCCTCTGCAGCAGTACTGAGAAATATTAATAATATGAATATTTTCTTTACAGACCCATGTATCTTTTTTCTTGTGTTTTTGTATTAGTAACACCATTGATAATTACAGAACAGGTATATCCAGTTTTACAGTCAAAATATTTGTATGGTTTCTTATTACGTGCATATTAGTAGCATAGTAGCTTATTTATTACTCATTATAAAGCACTTCTTAACCTTTTATTGCTCTGATAGGTTGTAGGTCTATCCTACATCATCTTTAACTTGCATTATCTGTGGGGTCCCACATGGTTCAATTTTATGTCCACGATCTATATGCTTCCATTTGGTCAAACTATACCTTCCCCCTGAGACCTGCTGACCCAAGAAGCCTAGCTGCTGTTTCAGATTCTCAGTTTCTCTCTACCTTAAACCAAAAGTCACTCTCTAACCTCCAACTGGTTTAGAATGCAGCAGCTTGACTTCTTACTGGTTTTACTGGTTTCAAAAGACGATATCACATCACTCTGGTCCTGCTTCTCTCTGTTGGTTTTAGAATTGAATTTAAGATTTTACTGGTCACTTATAAAGCACACCTGGGTCTGGCTTTAAGCTATGTGGCAGAAATGTTGACTCCTTCTGAGCCTCAGGTCCTCAGCTGGGTCCCTCTGGTTGTTCTAGTGTCAAGGTTTAAGTCTAAAGGTGACCAAGCTTTTGTAATCAGGACCCCTTGGCTTTGGAACGACCTGCTTGAGGGGGTTATGTTTGTGTAATTAGTGACTTCTTTTCAATCACTTCTTATAACTCATTTTTATAGACTTGCCTTCATGTGATGTTGTCTTTTTATTTTAATTCTATTTTATCTTATTGTTAGTTTTCTGGCATTGTTTTAGTTTGTGTTTTGGAGCCTTTAACAGTGTCCCTTGGAAAGGGAAGGTTCCAGAATAATTTGCATTTGTGAATTGTTTGTAGATGCCGGGCTACAATTATGTCTCCAACATCCTGGAATTAACAGACATGTTCCTTTAGCAAAGCTACTGCTGCTTTAAACTAGACGTTTGGTCTAGGATTAGCACTGTTGAATATCAGCTCAACACACTGACAAAACACAGTTTAAACCAACAAACAAGAGGGCAGAGTATTAGCCCAAATAACTGAAAGATGGTCATAACATTTGCATCACTTCTCAGACAGCTAGACAGTAAAAACACTGGAGAGATTTTAGTGGGAAAAAGTTAAATGTAATTATAAAACTGATTTGCTTTGATCGAAAGCCTTTTGTCCACTGTTGGCGTCTGTAGAGCTGAGGAAAAAAAACATTTAAATGTGTGAAACTGGAGTAGTAAATGACAGAGAAGCTGTAAACATCAAAAGTTGGCATTTTATTGTTAAGTAAACACTCGTGGAGAGCAACGATACAGCTCAACTCAGTGAATGGACAGAACGGACGAGGAGGAAAGCAGAATATTGATATGCAATAATGCACGAGATAAGGAAAACATGGGTAGAAAGATGTTGAGTGATAATACTGTTTGTTTTTTTTGACTATAGTTTATCACCAGAAGGGAGAGCTGCGAGCAGAGTTACGGGAACATGTTCAGAGCTGTTGGACGTTGGAGGTTCAGTAAGCTGCTGACGATCTGTCGAGCTGAGACATTAAAATGTAAACAGCCGTGTGATCCATCTTGTACGTGGCATCTTTGAGTCTGTTCACAAGATGAACCAGAGACATTTCTAGTTGGATGGAACAGTTGAAAAGCTTGTGAACCTCCCCGCTGGGGCAGAGGAGGAGGCGGTCGTGGAGCTTTCTAGAAGCACTTGCGGTGGACGATGGCGGGGCCGGACTCATCGTACTCCTGCTTGCTGATCCACATCTGCTGGAAGGTGGACAGGGAGGCCAGGATGGAGCCGCCGATCCATACGGAGTACTTCCTCTCTGGGGGAGCGATGATCTGGAGGTAAGAGAAGGAGCAGCGATAGTTAAGTTTTCCGTGCATAAATATTGGACAGGTTTTATTTTATTCCGAGGGCAGAGAAGGTAGAGTAGTTCATCATTAACACATCAGGGTCTGAAAACTGCAGTTTTGATCATTTAAGGCATTTAAAGAAAATTTGTTTCATTAGCATGTTTGCAAGTATAGTCAGAGCTGTTTTTACCATCAATGCTTTTAGTTTAGTTTTGCTCTGAGCAGCTTTTTGTAGTGCTTCATGGTAGAAAAATAAAATTAAGGTTTTTTGGAGTAGTGTAGCATGAACATACTACACACAACTTTCTTAAATCACATGGTGTGGAATTAGGACAGCTTTAAGTTTTTTAATATCCAAATGATAGAGATTTTTTAAAAAGTTGAATATAATAATTTGGCTTTAAACTGAATTTTCAGAAATGGGGTCTGTTCTCTGAAAGTTTACAGATACGATTTTCTGAAATCTAAAATTACCAAGTTTGTCCACTGGGGGGCAGCAGTACATCAGACTAAGTCATACCTCCAAAGTTAGACCTGCAGGCAGACTGAAATAAGTTTGATCAAGGCTCTACCGGGTCCTTTTTGAAAAAGGAGGCTTGAAGTTGTCATTCATTGATCTGCTAGAACAAAATAAAACTGCACCTTGATTTTCATGGTGGGTGGGGCCAGGGCGGTGATTTCCTTCTGCATACGGTCCGCGATGCCGGGGTACATGGTGGTGCCACCAGACAGCACAGTGTTGGCGTACAGGTCCTTACGGATGTCCACGTCGCACTTCATGATGCTGTTGTAGGTTGTCTCGTGGATGCCAGCAGACTCCATTCCTGAAAGCACAGAACCAGAATTCAACTGTTGATTTAGCTCGCCCGACCAAGCTGACCAAAAACTCAGGCAGCAATCTAACTATTCAGGTCATTCATTGAAACGTTACCCACCGATGAATGAAGGCTGGAAGAGCGTCTCTGGGCAGCGGAACCTCTCGTTCCCAATGGTGATGACCTGTCCGTCAGGAAGCTCGTAGCTCTTCTCCAGGGAAGAAGAGGAAGCTGCCGTCTGCATCTCCTGCTCGAAGTCCAGAGCCACGTAGCAGAGCTTCTCCTTGATGTCACGCACAATCTCACGCTCAGCTGGAGTTCAAGAAAATTTAACAAGTCAGACACAAAAACGTGTTAGAAATATTCAGAAGGTAGAAACGCCTGCAGCAGCTTCATTTTTGCAGTTAAAGCCGAG